ACAAAGCCATTCTGTTTGGAGAGGTGAAGAAGCCCACCTATGTTTCCAGTGTTTTTAGGCTTCTCCTCATGGCACTGTGAAGAAAAGAGTTGTTTGATTTCTCACAGGACACACAGGCCTTTGTATGGCAAGAGGGATTGCATCCAGAACTTCCCACGTGTTTTTGTAATATGAAATAAAACAAACAAGCACAATTTTAATTCAGTAGACATGAACATCTGGAAGATGACATCAACATGACTTCAGCTTTAATGTCAAAGTGTTAGACTGAAATCCAATACTGTTGAACGTTTGTGGTGGGAGCGCCAGAAACTTGAACATCACAGATCAAAGCTGTGATGGAAACAAAGTTTCTGCAGCAGTAGCTGAGGGAAGAAACAATGGTTTGGAGCTCTTCTAAACCTGAGGTAAAGGAATAGCACAACAAACCTGTAACTGCACGATAGTAGCAGCTTGAGCCCAAACATGACAGGAAATAAAAGAAGCTCCTGCTTATAGATCGGTGTTTCTTCCCTTGCCCTGCGCCTTCTCCATTTTTTCTCCTGTCATTCTTCAGGTTCAAAAACACCTTTACCAGAGCCCCGTGGAGACGAGCAAAGAGAGGATGGGCTGAATGCAATCGTCCATTCCCTTCCATGCTGAAAGATATTGTGGACTGCACTGGCAGCAACCACGGCCCAACAGGGAAATGGAAATAATGAGCAAGGATGCTGAGGCTGGAAATGCTGCTCATGGAGAAAGCCCCACCATCACTAAACTAAGCCTCTACCTCCTGAAGGGGAACTCCTGAGAGACACGTCCTGGTTCTGCCCAAAGAACTGATGGGCAGAGAGGGAACAGAGGACCAAAATATTTCTTTCGTATAATGCTCTCAGCCCCTAGGCTTAACTAGACAGTGTAAAAATATCCATAACTAGCAGCAGCCTCCTTACATCCAGCCAACTTCAGAAACACAGCTTCAGCTCTCACAGACAAAATGAAATTTAATTAGTTCATAATTTATTCTGAAAGCAAAACCAGAGATACCTATATACTCTTAAAACTAGTCAAGACACTGTTTTCCTTATTATTATTTAACTTCACCAGTATATTTTCTCAGTTTAGAGATCCCTAATCGCTGTGGTAACGCTAATTAAACCTCCTGGGGAAGCCGTGTGGTTATTCCTATGCACTGATGTTCACTTTTTTTTTTTTTTTTTTTTTAAATGCAGATAGTTGGGATACAAGACCATCCCACCAAATCCAGTCAGAAGGATTTTATTTTGATCCTATCTGGCTTGTTTTATTCTTAACAGATGGTGAAAACCCATGTGCTGATGAGTACATGCCACAGGAGCACGCCTCGGATACGGCACAGCCAGCCCCACACCTCGGCTCTGTCTGTACTGAGGAGCTCAGCACACACCATTGCTCAGGATCACACTTCTCTGCACAGTGGGATATCTCAGATGGGCCTTCCATGCTGTAGCACTTCTGGTACCAAAAACAGCGTTCAGAGGGCATTTTAGGTATTTCTATGTGTAATACAATAGACCAAGGGTGACAAGGTTCGGACAAATGTAAGTGAATGTATTTTTACATAAGCAAATCAACAAATAATTTGTATGAAATATCATTCATATTACATGCATGTGCAGATAACTCAAGAAAGAGCTTTCCCAAGGCATATTTTCTCCCTCCTTTGTCAGTGAGGCTCCCAGCGGCCTCCCTGTCACTGATTTCATTTGAAATACGTCCTCTGCTAACCTAAAGAGAAGTACATATAAAGGGCTTAGAGCTATTTATAGCGAAGTCTGTGCAACTGAAAACATGGCAGTTCTCATGTGGTGGGTATACACTGTGCTTATCAAGTGCAACTGGAAAACTGTTGCCTCTGTCTTTAGCAATTCCAGTCAGCAACTCACAACACAACGCTAAGGGAGCCAAGGAAGGAAGTAGACATAAGGACAAAATGCAAACAAACTGAAAAAACTACCAATTGGTTATATTCAGAAACTGTGGAGGATGTGGAGTGTGCGTGCAAGATTCATCTCTATCTGCATTGCAAACTGCTGGGATTGGGTACACAGGCTGGATTAGCATTATCACACCAATATTCCCTAGTATGTGTTCCGTGCAAGCCCCTGAGAACAGGCACATTCTCTCATAATTACTGCATATGCTGTTATCACACTAAACAACAGCCTTCCCCCAAAATGTTTAAGGGTCTACTGCTCATAAATTCTTCCTACTTAAGAGAAAAATCTGGATGTTAGGTGCAACTGTCACCAGACCCAGATATAACGCAGGCAAAGTTCACATTTGGATGCTGATCTGCAAATCTAATTTTTTCACTGCTGTGCTTTATTTGAAGTGAAAAGAAAATGAGTTCTAGCTAGAGTGGCAAATTCAGTCTCGCACTTAATAGGGTGAAATCCCCATTCCTCATACTTCTTCCTACAAACAACCAACACACAGACTGAAGTCCTACTGGCCAGAACCCGGTTTAAGAAAAGCAATGGAAGGTTACTCAAAACCCTGAAGAAGGAAGACTCAGATTCAACACTGATTTAGATATCCACTGTCCAAAATTACATTGCTCAGTGTCCTGCTCAGTGAAACTAGAAGAAGAACTGAAGAATGGTGAGAAGCAGAGGTAATGCATTCAGATCTGCCTTGGCTGTGACCTGCTGGAAAAACACCTTGGGAAAGACCACCAGGACAGGCAAGGCTGTGTTAGGCTGGGCAGGTGGGGGATGAGGGCTATGCTTCAGCAGTCAGCCCAGAACTGGCCACTGAAATTACAAGAGGAGTTAAGCATACAGCAGAATTAAAAGGTTCTTCTTTTCCCTTTTAATATACATCTCCAGGTTATTTATCATTCAGAGCACAGTCACAGATGTGGTATTTGTCCCTAGGAGAAGCCACTAAGCTTATTATGTGTTTTGATTTAAATCAGTTCCCCAACCATTCAGACTTCCTTGTCATCATTTGATGAGCGACAAAATGCCATGTTTCATAGATGCCCTCAGACAACACATCCTCAACAGACTTACAAGAGCTGCTACCCAGGCTCTGCACAGTCACCTCAATACAAGCTATGCTATGACTCAACAGCACAGTGGAAAAATGACCTTTCCCTGATTTGATAGATGATACAATGGCAGCTTCATCCTTGTTCTGTAGCATCCCTTAAGATAGGCTGAAAAAGAAGGCAAGCTGGTCATGAGAAAAGCAGACTGCACAGCCAGCCAGCTCATAAGAAGACAGAAAGCCACACTTTTTTTTTTTTTTTTAAGAGTATTTTTAAATCAGTGTATTTAAACCTGTCCATCTTCCTGTGAGCCAGCTGGTGGAACATGCCAGTGGTGACAAGACTCAGAATTAGCAGCAGCTTGAGCCCAATTCACTCCATCACTTCTCATTCCATCACAACTTTTAAGTCAAGAAGCTCATGTGACAGGAAGTTTGTATCTACTTACCCTTATCTCCTTTATCCACCAGTTCCTGTGTCCTGCAGGACACTTAGCTCTGAATTTATGGGACAATATCAATAAACAAACAAATAGAATAACTGCCCCTTGGGGAAGAAGGGAAGAGATTTCAACCAAGTCTTTCCCTTTCTAAATACTGGGCTGACTTTCCTGTGAATTTGAATTTGTCTCAAAGACAAGGAAAATATATTACTTCTTCATGCTTCTGTGCTGTTTCCTTGATGGAAGAATGTAAATACAACATAAGTGCCATTAGCACTCAGTTTTGGAGTACAGACAAGGAATTGGAGTCATGTTTAATTAAAATTTAGCACCACTGCATGCATTGAAACACGCAGAAATCCCTGCACAAGTCACTACTTCCATCAACTTTGTGAGATCATGACAACAAAACGTTGGTGAAAAAAAAAGTGACAAAATAAATAGACATTGATGCAAAGAGGGGATTCGAACGAAATAATGTTTCATCTTTTCCATGGAGCACATCAGGTTGGAGTTTCAAAACTAGGAAACATGAAGGAGAGAGAAAAGCAAAGTTTCAAGAAAAAGGAAAGAAAAGCTCTTGAATGAAGCTGCTTTTAGGCCATACCAAATCTCAAATACAACTCATACCAAATCTTCCCCTCAATGGAGACCCACACCACAAATTTTCATTACTACGAGGTTATGAAAAGGATGATTATAAATCTGCCAAAGTACTTCTGCCTGGCTATGACACTAACCCACAGTGTTGGGGTTGAGAACTTGCAGCCCAGCAGGAACATTGATATGGGAACTATCCATTGACCTGAAAGGCACTTCAAGACCAACACGGTGCCCAGCTTCCAGCCCTACATTAGCAGAAGCTGTCAGTAAACTCCTTTAGGATGGATGCATTAGGCTGGGCAATTCCACAGCCATAAGACAGCAATTCCTCAGCAGAAGTCAGCTGTAATTCATACGGAAAGCTTAACAGCGAGATGCATAAAAACACAGGCTAAGCAGCACAGTGCCCAGACCCTCGTTTCACCAAACTGCAGCGCTGCAAGAGATGGTAAGGTCCCCCTAAAACTCCTATGAAACTCCGTTTCGGCCGGAGCGGGCTGCTGCTCTCAGCGGGGCAGCACTGAGCGGCGCTGCCTGCATCCAGCTGCGGGAAGGGGCGACCGCCCCGCACACCCCGCGGCCACACACCGCCGACCGGTGCGGGGCGGGGCGGAGCGGAGCCGGGGCGGCAGAGGGCGCCCAGGTGTCGGCAAGAGCCGTTTCCAGCCCCGCGCTTACAACTTGCCGGGGACTTTCCTCCACTCGCGTGACTTCAAACCAACCAAGCGACCCCACCGCCCTAATTAACTAAAGATTAAGAAAGCAGTGGGATACGCTCATCGTAAGGCTGGGTACCGCTGTAATCCCGCAGCTACTCAGACACGCGGATAAACCCGTCGGGGATTAGCCAGGTCGGCTCCACGCAGCCCCGGCGCAGCTCGAGCTCCGAGCCGCGGTCACGGGGGCTCCCCCAAGCCGTCCGCCCGCTCCGCCCGCACTCACCCATCTTCTCCGCCCGCAGCGAGAGCGGGGCTGAGGCCGCCAACAGCAGCGAGAACAGCAGCGAGGGGGCGGCCCGCGCCCCCCCGGCGGGGCTCATGGCTCCGACTCCCGGCGAGACACAACTTCCCCGCTTTCCTCCCGCTCCTTTCTCTTCCTCTCGCCCTCGAAGGGGCGGCCCCGGGCCCGGCCCGCCTGCCAGCCCAGGGGGGCGGCCGCTCGACTGCATCCCCCTCCCCGCAGGTGTTGCCGCGGAGGCGGAGAAGGGGCCGCGCTCTGCCCGTCGGGTGCAACGCTGCCGCCCGCACGGCCCGGGGGTGGGGAGAGGAAGCGGGAGGACTGGAAGCGCCGCCGCTCCCATTGGGCTGCTGCGCCCGGCGCCTCCTCCTCCCGCCACCCCCTCCCGGCCCGCCGCTCCCAGCTCAGCTCCGGCAGCGCCGGGTAACGCCGAGCCGGGACCTCGGGGTCGGCGCAGGGGTGTGCGGGGGGAGCCGTGCGCCGAGGGGTGCCAGCGCTCCGAGCGGCCAGCCCGGGATAATTCAGGCTCTGCGCCGCGGGTCCGGGGATGCACAGCGCTGGGTGGGTCACTGGCGTGGTAAATCAGAGCGCGTGATTAGCTCGTGAGTCCCAGAGACAAGCCGCGGTTATTAGGCGGTGTTTCAGGATGCCCGTCTTTGGGAGTGCCTCACAGACTGCCAGGAATGGAGCGGATCATGGAGAGGAAGAGGGGAGAAAGTCGAACTCAGCAACAGCTTCCAGACTGAATTAAAAACAACACAGAATTGGTTAAAAGAAAAAAAATGTTCATAGAAAATACATTCCCTAACAGCAGATGTTTCAGAACCTACAGAGGAAAAGAAAGGGCACAATTGAGGTGTTGCAAAATGTATCACTTTTGAAAGAGTTGTAGTTATTGAAAAGCTATGTAGCAGTATAATGGCTGTTTTGTATTGGTTCAGTGGGTGCCGGGCAGCCCTGCACGGGTTGGCAGTGGGAATCACTCCACTTTGCACCAACTGGCTGAGGAATGGAATATATTCCTTAATCATATGTCCACGTTTTAGTTTCAATTGTATTTGATAAAGATAATGATAAATATTGGGCAAAGAAGTCCTGCAGGCCAATGCCAGTCACCTTCTGGATGCAGCACTGCCATACACCAGGTCTGGTAATTTTGTGCAGTTTTACCAGGCACAAATCTCAGCCACCGTGTTTGCGAATAACAGTGCTGGTACTGATCTCTCAGCAGAGCTGGGGGAATTGGAGCAGTCAGGGGAGACCCTTTGAAGGCTAAAGAGGCTCACACCCATCGCAGGCCTCCAGAAGACTCCCAGGGAGGTACCACTCCTTCCTGGAAGCTGAAGTCCTGCAGTACCCTGTGGAACAAACAGCCAGGGACAATTTGCTTCATGGCTATTTTTATTTCAGCAATTTCAAGTAAAACAATTGGTCATGTGGGGCTGTAAAATGCCTGGGAGAGATGTTTGCTTTCCTTTCTGACTGCGGAAGGAGATTGCTGTGCTGTGGTGATGCAGCCTGTCTGCTCAGTCTTCTCGTGGCCCTGGGCTCCATGGGCACATGGTGCCTGCAGCAAGTGGGTAAAGTGCTCGGGTGGAAACTCTGCACCTCTTCCAGAAGGTGTTGGAAGCCCTTCCAACTGTCCCTGAGTTTCCTATCAACTTCAGGAGGATAATGAATTATGCAATCATTGAAGAAGCTTCTGTATTATTTATTTTGCTATTAAATTCACACTACTTTATCATACCCTCTCTCTGTCAGTTCTCAGAGTGCTATAGGCAAGGAACTTACTGTCAGCTCCTAAGATTAAATAATCATTAAGATGAATTAAGTGGTCCACAGCTCTCAAAGCTATTATTCAAGGACTTGTGTAACTCCCACCACATCATTAAACTGTTGGTTTATGTATACTTTTCCAAATCTTCCTTTGTAAGAAGGAGAACAAAGCCCAGCTTTTAAATAAACAGGCTACAGCAAAGCAATGACCTGGATAAGGGTTAGAGTCCACCTTCAGCAAATTTGCTGATGATACAAAGCTAGGAGGAGTGGCTGACAAACCAGAAGGCTGGAGAGCTTGGCAGAGAGATACTTCATGAGGTCCAACAATGGCATGTGTAGTCCTACAGCTGCAGAGAAATAACTCCTTGCTATTCAGAAAGAAGATAAAAGTAAAGCCAAAGCGACCCTTTGTGAGGATGCCACTAAATGGTATTTCACAACATGAAAACTCCCTGGCAGATCATTTCTGAGAGCTTAATGCAGCTCATTTTTGTCGTTAACACTGGGATAATCTGGGAGAGATTCACCCAGTGATGTAGGCAGATTACTTATTAGCATGAGCACATGCCTTTCCATTTACTTTTCTGAATGTATGAGTTTTTTTGGGTGATTACTGTAAATCATATTACATAGTACTCACTCATAGTCTGTACAACTTCAGCATGTGGTCAGCTGTAAATGAGCACCCTCAGATATCCAGCCTCAAGATGGATCACATGGGACTTTAAGAGAAAATCAGCTCAAAACACCCAGAAGGTGGCTGGTCAGTATGATAGGGACATGCATAAGTTAAATTCATACACTTTTACAATCCACAGCTTCACATACTGACTTTCTTACCTTTACTTGTTATATATTGTTAAATACTTGTAGCTAACACACTGAAAAAGCTGCTTCTAAGCACACTTGAGGCATGATCAGACCTCATGTGTACTCTGGGCTGGAGTGAAGCTGGTGGGTTGCTTTGGGGGAGGGGCCAGAGGAAGAAGGGACACAGAGAGCTTCTGTAAATTTATCTTGCAATCATGACTCTGTATACACACTGTCTTTCAAAAGCATCTTGTTTTATACATTTGTTCTAGGGATTAAAAAAAAAGAAGAAAGAACCCAATTTTACACTGAGAGGTTTAAACTTGAGCTTAGTGGAGCAGCCTTGCTTTTGTACAGCTAACAGAAAGGTTCCTGTTCTTCAGGAGCTTGAAGCACTTTCTTTGCCTGTGTAGGAGAATGTGCAGGGAGTCACAAGGCATAGTGAAGGGGAGAGGACCCGAGGTCACAAATCGCAAAGCGCAAGAACAGTTCTAGGCTTTGAGAGGTATGTTAATCTCGTAATTTAGCAGGATGGCTTGCAGATGCAGCAGCCTCCCAGCAGTCTCTGTATGGGGGCACACATTTTGCATTTGCTTTGGTGTGAGGCACATAGTATCATATCATATACATGCGGGATAAAACCGAGAACAAGAGATGCCAGGCACTGATCCCTGTGCTTCCAGGTGCTGCCTTCTACCAGAAGGGTGCCTGATGGCTGCATGCAAAATCAGAAAAGAAGACAGACAGATAGAAGCCTGAGATGTGGCTGGATTCAACCACTGTGTATAACTTTGGGGATCCTCCCGCGTTGAAGCTTATGGGGAGCCTCCCCTGTTGAAAAGTCAGTGCTGCTGCATAGCTACTGCATGGCTTAGGAAGTCCAGCAAGTTCCTTGAGGCACAACCGGATTATTCTGATCATGGAGAGCACTTAATGGACACAGTATACTGCACAAAGACATTTCAGCCTATACAACACCATCTTCTATTAATGTCTGCATACCACTGAACCTGCTGGAGACAGACTGATTTCTAGGGCTCCTGGCAGCTTCTGAGAATTCACAAAAAGAAAAGACTCAGTGTCTGCCCAAGCCTTGGTTCAGCTGAAGCTTGTGCTAGAATCCCCTTCTTGCTTACTGCAAGCAACCCTTTCCAGGAGTGAAAATGCAAACCTGTGCAGGAGCAAGGATGTTTTGGAAATTTTTTTTCACGTGTTTCTGAGCAAGTAACTCAGAGGATGCAATAACTTTAGAAGGTGTGTTTCATTACTTCAAGGGAAACATAAAGTAAAAATAAAATAGGAAAAAAAAAAAATCAGAGAGAATAAGCAGCTTAACTACTCACTCTGCTGCCTATACCCTGGCTGGTCTGACACTGTGGCAGTGGCACTGTGCAATGATGAGCACAGGTCTCTGCACGAGTTGGGAGCATGAACAGTCCTTGACAGTAAAAACATAGGAGAGAAACCGTGGGTAATAAGTGCAAGCAACAGCTTCCAGCAGGCTTTGAGACTTCCATCCTTATTTTCAGCAGCAGAGACCTCATCTGAGTGGGTGGAGCAACAGAGCTCTTGGCAGCACCAGCATGGGACAAGCACGAGACATTCAGACTCTGAAGAAGACACGGGGCCTCATTCACTGCAACAACAGCACTTGGGTGTGACTCTACTGGGAGCCATGTAGGGGATGAATGAGCACCCTTCATCACTTTAATTACTGTAACCTATCCAATCTTGTCACTTTTTATGGTGTAATTATGTGATCCAGCTCAAGACTGATCACTTGTCTCACTGCCACACATTCTGCAGTTTCTCACAGCTGCTGGGTAGCCTGGTGTCATCATTTTTCTTACTTCCACATGGAAAGAAATCAAGTTTCTAATCATCTTGGTTTTGGAGATGATCAACCAAACGTGCCATGCTGTCGTTTTTAATTCTGTCAAGAAATATGGGGCAGAATGTTCCTTTTCATTTAAACATATTGTTTTAGGGTTGCCTTGAAAAATATTATGATCTAAAGATTCATGACATTCTTTGTCAAAACAGAGCCTACTATTTTATAACTTGCTAGCTGGCAGTATCCTCAATCAATTTGTCAGTGACAAAGCTCTCCTTGCTTTTTATAGATGTTTTTAAAAAATTTCCTGTCTCTGTAAGGTAGTAGCTCTCACACATTTAAATATATATATATAATGTTTCCCCTTTAGAGCACAGGTAGTATGTAATCTTTAACTGTAGCGTGATTTTGAGGGGGGAGTTCATGGCTGGATTTGCACACTGCACTTTTTTCCATGAACAGCAGATAGTCTTAATCGTTTACACATCTTTTATGAAGCTGCAACAAAGCAAGGGCTAAGAAATTGCTTTTGCCAAACATTGGCAATAACCAATTATGCTTGAGTCACATGCTTTTTTATTAATAAAGACGGTAATTAGTCTAGTTACATTCTTCCAAGCGAAAGTGTGGAGTATTGGAAGGTGAGTGCAAGTAAGCAGGGTTTACACCTTTTGATGCTATGTGCACAGTGCTTACTGTCATGCATACCAGAAAGGGCAGTTTACATTTTGTTTTACTGAGCACTATACCTCCAGCTATAGAAGTCAGAGCTTAGAGACTTAAGGCAAATGAGGGAGTGACCTAAATGATTAACTAATTTGACTGAAATTACATGTTTTACACCAGATCTA